TATGTACTTAGATTGAAGATTGTGGTAACCGTTATAATTGTTATAGTGTTTCGGTATAAATTGTATATGGCTTCCACTACATTTGAATAGAATAATTTTCCAAATAAGTTTGAAGAATACTACAAAGCTTTTGCACGGATATTGATCCGGCCGTTCCGGCTACGTAGACACAACTATTAGGAGTTACATCTTTAAAATCGTCATTATTACCTCAAAACCCGTAATTTTTCTTTAGACTATATAATAAGGAAGGTGACTGAATTTTTTATCGAAGGAGGATAAAACCAAAAATATTCAAAATATCGGCGAAGCTTGGGTACACCTCTAACATGTTAATAATTTGTTATCGAATTGGTGTATAGGATGATCTTGATCTTGATGGTTACATTTCTATACTACTTATATTTGTATTTGGCACGGTCAGATGTGAATCTCTTTCATATAGTGAAACCTAATGTTCGTGTATACGAATTCTCTTAGTATTCAGGATCATTGGAAGATTTATATCTGTAAGATCCTGATGGTATCTCTATCAAACATGTCTACTTGAACAGCTATTTCGATTTCCTACACAATTAGATCGATCGAGCTAGTAGCCGGTTCTAGCCTTTTTGGCTAAAATGAATGTTCTCTTAAACAGGGTATTACTGTCAAATGCAAAATGTCATGTGTATTAGCTCATTTCTTCTCGTACCTCTAATTTTGAAAATTTTTGTGATTCTATTGTCCTTTACAGTGCATACACATACATACAAATATGTCTATGTGTCTGTAAATGATAAACAATGCCAAAAATTTTAATTCATTAACTCATTAAAATTACTCGTAAGCAAAAGCAAAAACAAAAACCGTCGAAAAGCAACCAAAGCAGACGGATGAAAGTGCATAACGGCTCATGTGTGAATTGGCATGTATATTTTAAACACTACTACGCATACACACATATATATATACGTAGAAAGGAGCATAAATGAATGCATGCAGCTGTGGGCGGGAGGTGTGGCGACGATTCTACGCAGAAACAAAAGAAAAACTGCTGGAAAGTTTGCCATTCGTGGCATTCCAAGCGGGTGTTAAGTGGCTGAGTTCAACTTTCAAGTACATACATATATACATATTTGTATTGCAATATACATTTAAGGATATTAATTAGATGCATCTTGTTGAAGGAAATTTAAACAGTTCACTGTTATTTTTATACCCTGAACAGGTTATATTAAGTTTGCCACAAAGTTTGTAACACTCAGAAGGAAACGTCGGAGACCCTATAAAAAATATACATAAATGATCAGCATGATGAGCTGAGTTGATTTATCCATATCCTTCTTTCTGTCGGTTCGTCCGTCCGTCCGTCTGTGTACATGCAAACGAGTCCCTTAGTTTTTAAGCTATAGACCTGAGATTTTGCACCTAACCTTTTCTCACTAAAAAGCTGCTTATTTGTCGAAACGGCCGATATCGGATCACTATAGCATATAGCTGCCATACAAACTGAACGATCGGAATAAAGTTTTAAGGAACCTTTGCATTTGTGAACGTTTTTTCTTGTTTTCATATTATTTAACATTTCACTGACAGTGTGCTATTTCTAGAACTATTCTTACTGATAGCACAGATTGGCATTGAAGTAAAACAGAAATAATTCAATTATTAGAAAAACTTAGAGTAAAGTATGCAAAAAAGTTATGAAAAAATATATATTGTAATATATATAAGTATGAAAATCGACTGATAGATGGAACTGATTACACTCAGGAAACCACATTTTACAGTAACTGTTATGTTTGAACTCTATATGTCAATTAGTGTGTGTTGACAGCTGTTTGTTTACAGCGCGAAAGATTTGTCTGGCGATTTTTACCATGAAAAATACATTTTACAACGAGTTTGCTTTATATTCAGTGTTTCCAATACAATCACGCCTATGGAATCGTTGAAAATGTTGCAGACGTGTTTGGAAAGTCTACTTTATCAAGAACAAAAGTATTTGAGTGGCATAAAGCATTCAGTTAAGGTCGTGAAGTCATAGTCAACTCGCCTCATGTTAGTCGTCCATCGATCTCTGTTAATGACGCTAACATCAAAAGCGTTAAAGAACAAGTTTTTGAAAATGTTCGTGTTGGCATCAAAAAAATTGCAGACAATCTCAACATCCCTGAAGGATCGAATCAACAAACTTTAGTTAATATTTTGGGTATGAAGTGTGTCAATGATATACTCATAACGAATCAACTGAATCACGAAAGAGATGCTTGACAACGTTGCTTAATACCCTACATTCATCAAACGCGTCATTGCTGGTGACGGGGCGATGGTTTACGAATATGACGGCGAAACTGTTTAGCAATCTAGCTCCAAAAATTACCCGGAACCAAAAACACCAGTTCCAAGTCGGTCAAAAGTCAAGCTGATGCTCACCGTTTTCTTTGATTATCGTGTTGTGGTTCCCTATAAATTTGTTTCACAGGGTCAAACGATCGGTAAGGGATACTACTTTGCCATTTGGAATTTTGTGATTTGTCGGCAGAAAGTTCATGGCTGTTTCACCACGATAATCCGCTGTAATATTCTAGCATGAAGGTTATTGACCATTTTGGCGGTAGAGAAAAATGAGTCAGCGCTCAACCACCGTATTCGGATTAGTTCTGTGTGACTTTTTTCTGTTTTTGAAACTAAATAATCCGCTTTGAGAATCGCGCCATGAGTCCATTGGAGCCATTAAAAGTCATTCGCTGTATGGTGTATGGAAAATTGGATTTTGGGTTTGCAAGCTTGTATTGGCTCAGAAGCCCATTATATAAAGATACCTATATATTAAAATACGTTGTTTTTTTATCATTCGGTGTTCGGATCAAGTTTTGGACCAATTACGCCCATTTATGTATATTAATAAAAATTGCGTGAAAAAATAGATATTATTTCATTAGCCTTTTCTTTCTTGTCCTTATCAAGCCAATCATGATAAAGAGCAGCCTTAATATATATACATGCATATATGCACACATACATACATATTGTATGGTACATACTTGTATATTTACTATTTCTAGGGACTCAAGTAACGGGTTAATAGCAGTAACTAGTACGCAAAGTGTGAGACCATTTTCGGCTGCACCTTGCACCTGCCAGTACGATGTTCTGAGGTGACTTTTGGTAATTTGTGGTCTCACATTATGTGGCTGCAATACAAGTAACAACAAACAAACAAACAAATACATACATTAACGAGTATGCATGTATGTTTGTATGGCTGCATGTTAGGTACAACGTCCAGGAACATGTTAAACAGCAGGACGACATGCTCAGGCGTCAGTGACATGGCCGAAAACAAGCCAAGCAATGCAATGACCACAACTAAAAGGACAAACTGGGCATAGAATACTCGTACAAACAACAACAGCCATTGCGATAACTAAAGCACAGAATATTATCATTAGCAACAAAATGTTGCATTATTGCCAATAACAACAACAACAATTGCAGTTGACAATAATGACAAACAAAGTGACTGCAATTGTAAAACAGTGTCAAAGCACTTTAGGGCGTCTCACCACACACATACGAGTACATAACAAACATGGATGCAAGTCCGAGCAGGCATAGTCATGTTTCAAGCTCAGCTTTTGTTGTAGTATAGACAAATGTCGAAGTCGAAAATGAATTACACATTACGCACACCTGTGTGTAATATATATATATATGTATGTATGTATGCGTGAAAGCAACAACACCCATATCTATGTACGTATATACGAGTAGGTGTGCATGTGTTTGTTAGTTTCGGACATTTTGGGCGCCGCTTGTAGTCATGCAGACGGACACTGCCTACTGACATGACGTACAAATGCGTAACATAACGGTAATGCACTTTCTGCATTTGTGTTAACAAGTTGTAGCTCATTATGTGTAAACACAGGCAACCCACACTCAACAAACTGATAGACAAATCTAAGCCCATATAAGTATTAATATATGTTTGCAGATATGTATTTACAGATACATATATGTATAGTTATTTATATGCGTGACGTTGGCGTAAAATGTATTGCTTGCATATCTATTTCACAGACAGCCAAGTTATCAAGCACTCATGCATGCACCTACACGGAAACAGATTCACTAAGAACTCTAACTTTAAATGATATATAATTTATATATAATTTCGTTTAAAAATCGCAATAAAACAATAAATGTTATGAAATAATAATATAAAATCAATTATATACCATGCGATCCCCAAATTTTGTTTTTAACCTTATCTCTTGACATTTTAATCGCATGATAGTTATTTTAAAAATATTTTTAAAAAAAGTGTTGCATACATTTGTGCTAGCCAAGTTCTTTGATTTTTGACCGTTAGACGCCGCGCCAAACCAATTTAGTGTGGTTTCTTTTAAAATTCCTAACAGCGCCCTCTGTTGGTGAAATTCTATTCTATATTAAAACGTGGACATGTCATAATTATTGTTTATTCTCTCCCCAACGAAATTAATTTTGATTTGAGTAAACTAAATCTTGATTGTAAGAAAACGTCGGAAACTCTATACAGTATATAGTACATACAGGATATGCGTGACAAGATTTTGCCATGTTCGTCTTTCCACCGGTCTGTATACACATATGCGCGAACTAGTCATTTAGTGTTTGAGATATCGATCTAATATTTAGCGCACCTATTTCTTTCCTCTAGAAGCTCTAATTTTGTCTTCTATTGGAATCGCCGATATCGAACCACTATAACATAAATGTATGTAACTGGCATACAAACTTACCGATCGAAATCAAGTTCTTGTACGGAAGATATCTTCACAAAATTTGAAAATCTTGTTGATGCTCCATTCGTTCCGAAATCAACACATATGTATAATATATATTGTATCTAGTGAACAAAAAAAAATATATGTATAATTACTTGGAATTTAATAAAAACGCATAGGAGAAGATCTAGTTTTATTTATGCAAATAAATTTATATTCACATTCGAATATGACCACTTCAATGCACTTATCACATAGCAAATATATGTATATAAATATTATATTATATAAATTATCGTGCCTCCAATTCATCGTTTCGTAGGAGTGAATATATTAAAAACTCGCGCCTTGCGGAAGTCGAAGGTGACGAAAAAGTCTGTGTTTTAAATTTCTAATCAAATTTCTACCGGTTTCTTATATTCAGACCTATTAATGAGTTATACACATACGAGTATGTATACCAGATATATATGTATGTTTATATGTACATCAACCAATGTATATAGTAAAGTAGCTACGAAGAGCATAACAATAATAAAGCGTCAAATGTAGATAAAATGCTGATATGGCCTACAAGCTGTTGCACCAACTGATAAGACGTCGGCATCGTAAGAAAAATGTGAGCTCGCTAACAACAACAATAACAACAGCACCATATGAATTATTGTAGCAGAAATGAGCGAGATGTTTTATGAAAAATATCAGTTGTTTTCAAGTCGCCGTCGTCGGCTGTGTGACAGCGGAATAAATACTAAATATTTTTATATAAAAACGCAGCGCTTACTGGGATTCTTTAATTAATGCTGATCTGCATTAAATGCTCGCATAAATAGTGTGTTATTAAAACAAAAAAATCGCTATAACTGTTTAAAAAAATTTTATGCGTAAAATCGCGTGCGGTTGCAAAGTGGAGGGGGCAAAGCGTTTGTAGGCCTCACTAAAGACATTTTAGTATATAACATACATATATACACAAGTGTTTTACTACCAGTTATTAAAAAATATATGTATGTATTTGAAACTCCGACGTGTCAAAAATACAAATACGTGACAAGTACTCGTACAGCTTAGTTTCTTTTTTTTTTTTTGTTTTGTCATAAAAAACAATGTTTGCGACAAAGTACCGTAATGCCGTTAAAAATTTCCTTTTTAATTTTAGAGATACAACTGACAATAACATATACCATAAATGCAACTGAATTCAAATAATGTTTTGGTTTAGTTAGACTTTATGCACAACGTCTTAATCGCCTTAAACTGTGTTTGAAGAAAACTTGAGAACAAAAAATGAGGAAATCGTACTTCTACAGGAGAGCGGGTCCACGCAGAACCGACTATATACATATTTTCCCTATGTGACACGTAGTCTCCCCACTGCCGAATCTACACGTTTCTTGGGTTCTTATCTCTGAGCCAGAAAATATCAGTTAACATCATTATGTGCCACACGTTGTTCAGGGCTATTGCCCAACCTGCGCAGTTTCCAAAATGTTTTCCTTCTTTGACGTCAGGAACTAAAATTCCATCCAAGTTCATCTACAGGACTTCATTGACATCTCGTTAAAGTTTTGTGAGTTGAATATAGCCGATGTCTGTCTATTTTTCGTACAATAATAGAAGAATGTCAGAATCAGAGTATAACAAGAAAAAAACGTTAACTAAAGGGTACAAAAAAATATTTATCTCAATTTCGTTTGATTATTTTGAATGACAGCTACATACATGCTATAGTTGTCTGATCTGCAAAATTTTTTCGAAGGTTATAGCCCTGCCTTGAGTAATAACCTATGGCAAATTGCATGAAGATACCTTATCAAATAAAAAATGATTACCATGAGTACTTGAGTAGCCTTGAGTAGTATACAAAGTGGTTAATATAGGCCAAAGGGGACTTATATTAAATTCGTAGAAATAATACGCAAAGCAAAAATACCATAATTATCAAATGTGCAATTCAGTACATCTTATATTAAGTAAAATTAATTTTTATTACCTCTTATCATACAGCTATCCCACTGTATGACGCGCGCAATTCTATTTTCTCGCTTTTACTGCACCCACTTTCGTGAGTGAATGCTCTCTACTAGAACGCATGATGAGCTACATACATATGCATTTTTCACTTGAATCAACTTTATTGCTTTCTTTGTTGGTTTTGACATTTACTAGTGAAAAACATTGCTAACTGCCTGCTCCAATTTATTGAATTTTCTTCACGTAGTGATACAAGTTTAGTGAAAATAATAAATCGTGTTAACTTATGAACTTTGTTATATAACAAAAGCAATACGCAAAACGAGCGGGGCCGAGTCTTATCAACAGTTTACCCCAATTGTTATTGATTGTTATTGTTATTGGACATTGCCTTCGCGGCTTCGTCTTATCACTAGGCTTTTGTGCGCGTTTGTCGTTGTTGTGCCACTTTGCATTGCATTTGTCGCCTCTGCTTCCGCTGCCGATTCATTCACTCTTTTGTGTGCAAATTCTTGATTTATTGTCGCGCGAATTCTCAGCAGCTAAGTAAATGTGCGTTTGTTCTTGTTTAGATTTATTCAATTCGCTCAATTATACAAGCAATCAGCACTCTTGTGCTTAAGTGAAATTTGTTGTAGTGGTAATCAAAACAAAAACCATACAAATAAATAAACAACACATCTACTATATTATATATAACTATAATTGAACAAGTGCGGTGCAGCAATCCGGTTCTAACAAAAATGTCAGCAAGTGCGGAGAGCGCCATCTCTATGTCACATTTGGAAATTCACTCGGAGCATAGACTTTACGCAAGGTTACGCGAGCTTTACGATTTTTATCGCAATCAATTTGGTGGTGAGCCGGAGTTCTTCGTTCGCATGCCTGGACGGTAGGTGGTGTTGTAGTAGTAGTGCATATGCTGAAATACACAGAAAAAAGAATTGGTTGAATGTGTTTTGAAACTATTCATAATAAAATAATATCATATCTAAGCGTTTAGCCAGAGAATGTTAATGAATATGAATAAAGTTATATTTTTCGATATTTCCTCATGTGAAAACTAAAAAACTCAGATTATTTTCCTTCTACAATTTTGCTCAATATTGCTTTATACATATATAATTCATATACATACTTGCTTTTATAGGCTTCCCTTTACCTGCTAACTGTTTGTTTATAATTTAGTCTACAAAATTTTCTTATAGATTATGGTAAATAAAACTTACGCCAGGACGTTATAGAAAAAATTTTAATCTAAAGAGCCGATAAAAATATTAAGCTAAGAAAATCAAGTTACAGATCTGCTGGTTTCCAGGCTCACAAGACCTATTCAAAGGTTTCGGCTGGAAAATATACGCAGATATCAAAGAAAAGCTAAGCTTGCTCAACCGTTAGGTGAACAAAACTATTTTATTCTGTAGCAACATATTGCAAAAGTATAAAAAAAATGTATTACGATTTTTATATATGAATATAGGTAATGATGAAAGTCCATGCTAAAATTTCGATCTTTGAAAAATTGGCGGGTTTCAAAAAACAAATCGGTTTCTGTGAAAAATTTTACATTTCGGAGTTTATTAATTAAAATCTGATTTCTTCGACCATTACCTGATAAATATATCTAAGTAGCTCGTGTCAAAATTTCAAGTCAATCGGTCCAGCCGTTTCGGAGGTAATTTCCTCACCGACTTTGAAAACAGCGAGAAAAACGCATTCGAAGTTTTGGGACCGATTAGACTAAGTTAAAAAATTATAATAATACGGAGATATAACCGAAACTGTTTTCCGGATTAATTTCAAATTTTCTCAAATGCATACACATTCGATATATGTGTGGAATATACAAAAAATTTTATTTTTTCAAATTCAGAAGTGAATATAACCTCTTAAAATAGTGTGTCCATTTCGAAATCAGGGGATTTATCTATTTTTGCTTTTTTTTTTTGTAGTATCATTTTACATCAGCATTTATTTCTCTATTTTACCAAAATTACAGCGTCAACATAATCGGCGAGCATGTGGACTACTGTGGCTACCCAGTTTTACCGATGGCTATTGATCAGTGTATTCTTTTGGCGGTCGGACGTAGTGCGGAAAATACATTTCTACAACTGCGTAACGTGGAAACAAAGCGTTATGAGAACTTCAAATGCGATTTGAGTGCACTCAGGTAGGCATATCTGCAATATTTCTGCAACTTGTATTCACTTACAAACACACACTCCACTCTCCATATATAGCATTGATTTGCCGCAAAATGGTGGACCGAAATGGTATAATTACTATCTGTGCGGCGTAAAGGGCATCTATGAGCAAATCCAACAAGCGAACAACGGTGAACTAATGCGGCCCATCGGCATGAATATCGCGTTGAGCGGCAACATACCGCCAGCTTCGGGTTTGAGCAGCTCCAGCGCCCTGGTCAGCGCCGCTGTGCTGGCCACGGCATACGTGCACCAATTGCCCTTGGAACGTAAACAATTGGCCGCCATATCGGCACGCTGTGAACGCTATATTGGCACACAGGGCGGCGGCATGGATCAGGCCATCGCCTACCTGGCCAAAGCTGGTTGCGCACAATTCATTGAATTCCATCCGGAGCTGAATGCCACACCCATACAGTTGCCGGCTGGCGTATGCTTTATTGTGGCCAACAGTCTGGCGGCAAAGAACAAAGCAGCCTCATCGGATTTCAATGAACGCGTAGTGGAATGCCGGCTGGCTGCGCGCATAATTGCCAAGCGCATGAAGTTCAACAATTGGCGTGGCATATTCCGCCTTGTGCAGTTGCAAGAGGCGTTGCATTGCACGTTAGGCGAACTGGAAGAGCTAGTGTTGAAATGGCTGCCAAAGGATATTTACAAACGCGATGAGTTGTGTGCGTGCGAATTGGAGGTCGACGCTGAGGAATTCGAAAGGGAATTTCTCACCGTCAATACGCGGCACATGACACAATTCAAACTGAAACAACGCGCTCTGCATGTCATACAAGGTATGTGGAAATGCTGGGGGGGAGGGAGAGAACAAAGGTTCTATTGCAAGTACATGCTAATCTCTGCTTTTTCTTAATTCTATTGCAGAGTCACTGCGTGTGGCGGAATTTCGCGAAATATGCGAGCGCCATCACACACAACCCCAATACATCTGCCAAGGCGTGAGCGTTAAGTCAAATGGTGACGGTGTCAATAATGCCACAAAGCACTTTACGCTGCTGTCACAATTGATGCGTCAATCACATCAAAGCCTTAAAGAGCTCTACGAGTGTTCGCACACCGATCTGGATCGTTTGATTGGCTTATCCGATGAGGCTGGTGTGGGCGCTAGGCTCACCGGTGCGGGGTAAGACAATTACTTCCGCGTCATTACTACTAATAGACCATCAACGCACAAGACATACATACATACATACATATACTTATTTACATAATTCACTTTTTCTTATCTTTTTATTTCTTTTTCCCTTAACTATCAGTTGGGGTGGCTGCGTGGTCGCCTGCTGCGACTCTCTGGAATCGTCTAAGCGTTACATAGAAATGCTTAAAGCGAAATACTTTAAGTTGCTGCCGCAAGATTTGCTCGAGCGGTATGCCGTCAATGATTTCGATGATGTGGTGTTCGCGACTTTTCCAGGAAATGGCGCAGAAATCTTTCAACTCAACTTTGTGACTTGTTAATTGACAAGAGCGTTGGTTTATGTTGGAAAAAATTGCCAAAATCTTGCTAGTAAAAATTGTAAATTGTAATGCTCCATCTAATATAGGGTGACCAATCAAATGTTTAACGCTCTGTCAACAAATCTTTATTTCTCTTATACAAGAAATAACTAAATGCATTTTTTACGTAAGCATATTTAAACAGTATTGAACTTAATTGAATAAATAGAGTATAATGTTAAAAAATTGGCAAAAAATTCGAAAACATACTTGAATAATTAAATTTAAGTTTGTGTGTATGAAAGAAAAAGGTAAGTATTTCAGAACAATATGCAACACACGGCTGGGCATTGGAGCTAACCAATTTTTTTCGAGAGATTGAGTCATAAGTAAAAACGTAGTTTCTCAGTTTTTCAAAGTTAGTCTCCACAGTTGAAATATTCTACTTCGAATTTCGAAATTGAGAATTCTAAAAAATCATTTTTAAATATATTGTAAGTAAATATTGTCGTGTGTATTGTCGATTACTTGACTCAATCTCACGAAAAAATTAGTTTAGTGCAATACCAAAAGAACTTCGATTTTGCCGTCCATTATATATATTTATAGCTATTTTAGATTTTAATGTTCGTTTTCTTTGTTTTATTTATTTTTTTTTTTGAGTACATATGCATGACTCCGATTTATCCATTGAAACTGTGCGTGTGAAACCGAATCAATGAAAAATGTTTACCTAGATTGGACGTTTTTTTTATGTTTGTGTGAAGTTTGATCTCCATACGTCAATTAATGTGTGTTTGGGAATTGGTTGTTTACGGCCCGAAAGGATTGTCTGGCTATTTTTACCATGACAAAAAAAAACGAGTTTCTTGTTACGATTTAAAAAAACAAAAAAGGTGACATTTTTTATAATATAAAAAAGTATAACAGATACTTAATTTTAATCGCTCAGTTTGAATGACAGACACATGCTATAGTAGTTCGATCTTGAGTTTGATCGGTCAGTTTGTATGGCAGCTATGTGCTATAATTGTCCGATATCGGCAGTTCCGACAAATGTGTGTTTTCAGATTTTTATCTCAGAAACTGAGGAACTAGTTCGCATATATACAGATAGATAGACGGACATGGCTAAATCGACTTGGCTCGTCACACGTTTTATGTATATTTTATAATGTCGATATTTTTATAAAAAAAGTAATTAATAAAAAAGCCTTATCTTAAGGATTTATAGCAGAATAATTCAGCAGAAAACGCGAAAGTGGGCATTGGAAATGTGAGAGAATCAAATATTGTAATTTAACATAAAGATATTGTTAAATTAATGAATGGTCCAAACCATTTTTCCTGTTTAAGCGTAAACTCTAATGAATATTAATTTTTTTTGTTTTATATTTCATTTATTTCTACTAGTCTACTTTTATGTTTTTATTATTAACCTCATGTACGCAGAGAGCTTAAAGGATGACTCACGCATACAACACACAAACATACCAAGCATAGTATAGTAGATGTAGTAGTACGATCAGTAAAAAATCCAGTATGTACAAAATTTTCTATTCAACTATGTGTTGGGTGTTTTGCCAACAAATTGATTTCAATGCCATAATATTCATTAATAGTGCAGCCGCAAGAGAAAAAGTAACAAGTACATGTTTAATTTATTGCATATCCCTGAACACTGAACATCACTCACAGGTAATGTAACAATTTACTTGTCTGGAAGCAAAATAATGACCCTGTAAGAAATAAATTACAATAATTACTAACTTTGTACAGATGTAGCTCATCCACTAACCAGAACTAAGTTACCGCTTGCTTGATAAGTGGACACACAAATGATTATTGTCAAGACCGGTTTAAAACCATTCGTTCCGGGCAATGCAGAATATCATCACTGCTATACGCTTCAGATCAGAAGAAGGTATCAAAAATTGGCTTGATGCATTCTTGTTCGGCGTAGTTATTTCGGGATGGAATCCATAAATTGCCAGAGAGGTGGGAAAATGTTATAGTTTCATATGGAAAATACTTTGAATAATATTATTGTATATGTTTTTTTTTTAATTTAATCGTACAAATATAGTTATAGACCCAAATATAAAAAAATATAATATATTTTAGAGTACTAATTTCCTACTGTGTTTTATCGTCATTGCTTACGTAAATATACTCGTATTAACATATAACTGTATGTGGGCACGAGCATTTATTGTGTGTACGATATTTTATTTCACATAACACGCAACGCCTGAAGTAAAATATCTATGAAGAACATATCTAATTCTTTAACAACTGGAGGCACTTGATTTAAACATTGAAATGATATGAATAAAATTATTTAAAAATTATGAAATTCAGTATATTAAGATTGTTAAAATAAATTTTGAAGAGCTCTAACATTATACTTTTGCAGTATTCTAAAATCAAAGTCGTGTATTGAGAGCAAATCGCACATATTGATCTAAATAAACAGTTTAAAATCGCGATTATAATCCGATTTAGCACATTCCATTTTCACACTGTAATTAAATTTAAGTGAAATAAAAAAGAGCAATGTTATGTAATAACTTTGGTTGAAATTGGTGGCGTTGACCCTAAGATATAGAATTTTATCTAAAAGTGTACGGTGCCACAATCAGTTTCCATATTTTATACCGGCTCCTATAAAGTCTTTACCTAGAATTTCGGTTGTAAAAATAATTTTTTAATCAGGAATAGCAATTTTAGTAGTTTTCAACATAACATTATATGGGGAGACAGTACGAGAAGATGCAAACAAGATTTGTCCTGACTAAATTTGGTTGATATACTAAATAGGTGCTCCTTCTGACTGACTTTACAGATTTTCGTTAACGGCATTTTATGGGCGCGGTAGTGGACCCGTCTGCGATATTAGTCTCCTTTGAAAGGCAAGGAGGAAATCTCAATGTTTGCTTAAGTTATCACTTGCACTTGCAAACAGACAGGCATTCTGCTAGATTTCAACTCATCTCCTCATCCTGATCATTTATATTGGTACATTAGACTGCTTTTTTTTTTTTGAACTACTTTTTTTTTCGATCCCATTTTGAAATTTTGTTGGAAATACCAAAAAAAAAATTCCCTAAAAATTTGGGACTTTAATTTTAATATTAAGTACTAGACCTAGGCCTGTAAAGATTTCCCATATAAAATACACGTAAAACTTGATTTTTTTTCTTTTTAATTTTATAACTCAGCGGCAGTTGATGGGATTATCTCACCCGTCATTAGGTATTCCTCAGAATTGAACGCTCTACAAAAGCCTCCATTGCGGTAAAGTTATAACTTGCACCTGCGGGGTAGTACGGGCCATTTTTCCATGAAATTCGCGTTTTTTTGGAATTATCTCGTAAACAACACTAGATACAGAAAAATTGTCAATAACAAAATTGTAGGAAATTTAATTTCTTTGGCACCAAATCGATAATATTAATACTCTTTGAGATACAGAGATTTTAAGTTGAAGTAGTATGGAATTTTTATGGATTTCTGAAACTCAGGTGAGGTCATACCACTTCAACTTAAAATCTCTGTATCTCAAAAAGTATTAATATTACAATTATAATATTTTTTTTTATTTGTTGTTTCCTTTATCTATTATAAAGGTATATATTGATATAGGAGTGTGAAGTACAAATCGTAACAAAAACCAATTCTAAGCTAAGTTTCTAAAATATGTGAGATTTTAATAAAGTCGAATTCAACGACATGGTCAAACCAATTAAAAATGTTGTAATATTATTTTCGGAGCAATTTTATGTCAACTCTTTTCGATGTTAATTTTTAATGTAGTGAAAAAATTAAATCATATTTCACACTACATATATTATCAAAAAATAGCATTGTTAATTTATTGTCATTGAGTTTGACATAATAAAAACCTCGTCTTAATCTGTAATCCTATCACTCTATCTATCACTGTAGTAGACTTCCAAACACATACAAGTATTGTGTAAACAAAAGTAATTAAGTTCCTAGAGATATTTCAACTTTAACGCTCATTCAGTTTCGTCATCAGCACTGATGTCATAACCTAGTATACAGTTATTTAAATTGGATTATCCGTCAAATCTGACTTTTCACTTAAACCATGGTAAAATCCCAGCTCTGCTTTGGAGGGGAATAAATTACTAAATTTTTAATTTTGCCATATGATTGATAGCTGCTGCTAAAAGTTTAATTAAATTTATTTCTGAGTCAGTAGCATTGTAGTAAGTAGCTTAGTTTTCAATAAGGTGAAGCGGCTAAAATTATCAAATTCGCCCAGCAAAACAAAAAACAAAATAGCGTCATATTTTCGATAAAACAACTAAGTAAAAGTGATGTTGCGGTGCATTTGAACATTTTATACACTCACAATTAGCAAAAATCAAAAACGTGTAGTATAAAATTAACTGGAGTATAGAAAATCATTAAATTAGATGTAGTCCTGGTCCCCCACTAAGGGAAGTAATGAATCGATTTTGTTATGTCTTTTTCACCCTGTCACACTACTATGGTATAAGAAAAAACTAAGAAAGGGTTCGGATGTAACCGAAAATTTTATACTCTTGCAATTTGCAAGGATCAAAGCCAATGAAATACCTTCAGGTGTTAGCAAAACTTTATGTTAAAAACTGTTCATTCAAGATTCGACGAAATTGTAAATGGATTACAATCAAATTTGATATTTTGTTAAGTCATGTTATAGGTCATAGACCCACATAGTGTTATTGCTATATTTTCGCGTCAGCTAAATTATTTTAAAAGGTGTGAAAATTGGAAGATGGGTGTGGCACCGCCCACCTTTAGGTGAAATCACATATCTCCGGACCCATTCAACCAATTTCAACCAAATTCGGCACATAACATTATCCTGACAGTCCTATCTCACAGTGCGAAAAGGGACTGCAACCATGCCCACTTCTTATATAACACAACTTTAAATTCCATCTCATTTTTTCACTTTTCAGTACAAAAAGAATATATGGAATAATATTTTATATAAAAAGTGCCTCTAAGGTACGCCATATAGCGTCTGAAAATTGTCAAAATCGGAGCAAAAATATTCAAGCTCCCTCATATCGAATTTATGGACCCTAGTTCGAATGGCCGACTGTTTGCTGAAAATATCGGTAAATCAGGTACACCCAGACTTAGCCCTTCCTTCCTTGTTTTAAAATATTATTTTGTTTTAAAATATTTGATTTAAATACTTTTTTGGCCAACACTAATTGACTCTCTCGACATTTTGTGTTTCCA